AACATAGCCTCACCAGTTCGTTTTGTGTCAAATTGCTGGTAATATTATTGGAGGGAGTAGTAACAAGCGCTAGCTCCCATCCTGTTCCACTGATTTCAGCTAAAGCGAGATTTTTTGGATTTGATGGATCATGGCCTGCATAAATATAAGAAATTAGTAACCTACAAAGGAAGTGATGTTAAGAAAGAGCAGTTCAGAGACCTTCTAGATTGTAGCATCTCAATCTACCGTCCAAGAGGAAATGGACAATCATTAGCATCCAAATAAGATCCAACACGATTCTAAGATCTCACAGCTTTTAGTAGTGTATATTTTTATGGGTGGAAAACTACAGAATATAGGATATAATTATCTTATCTTCGACTGTCAGTCCCATTTCAACTGATAGATATGTTAGAAACTGCCACAACTTACCTTGTGGAACTATTGCAAGAGCCAGTGCATTGCTTTCCTCTAGCTCTGCAGCTTTTGGATTTATTTCATTCAAACCCTGCAGAGAAGTTGATCAATAATGAATTCATATACAGAGGAGTTCCTGTTTACAATAAGGTCCAGGGAAGCCGGGAGTATCTTTCTAAAATTGAATTTTCCGTTTTCTCTATTTACAACGAATAAATACCAGTTATAACAGGCGGTTCCATTTTTAATGAAAAATTTTGCAGGTGGCTCGGTGGTCTAGTCACATTGCCAAACCGAGTTAAAGTTCTTTTTTTGTTCTTTTCTCTATTACAAGGTGATTTCCCAACATAATACATGTCAGGCTTATCAAAATTAAGTAAAACACTAGGACAAATTTTAACTTACCAATAAGTCCACATCTTCAGTTGATATTAAAGGAGGTGTTTCAATCTCCTCTTCCTTAGGCTGAGGTTCTTCCTCTGTCTCAACCAGGGGCTCATTCTCTTTCGCATTTTCAACTTGCTTTTCAGTTTCTACTGGTTCTTCTGGCTTGGAAGACTCTTCTTCTCTTTCAGTATATTCCTGTTTCAGGAAACATACTAATCACAACTCCTGACATAGATTATGCCCACAAACTATAATTATTTGGCAAAATCAACTCAATCAGATATGGACTGGATCAAGTAGATAAGGGTCGAAAAAAATTGCTTTTACCTTCACAGACATAACAGTATGCATGAAGAGCTATACTCTATATGACTTAAATATGTTGGACAAGTATAAATAAGCTCTAAACCATATATGATTACATAAATGATCTCACCAGTCTGTTATGTACTGAACCCGTCTGAGGTGCCTCTTTAATATATTCTTCCATTGTTGCAAGAAAAGAGGGAGGCGGCTGTTTAGTTCACAAAAAAATAATTGTAAGAGACTGTGTGTTGGAATCCACTGGTACTTGTCAGTTTAATGCAGAGCAAGAACCTGTCTTAATATTGGAAACTGAAAGTTCCTAGCAAGTTCCAATCCTTTGCAGTATTCATAAAAATCAGCAAGATTTTCAGCCTGTAAAGTAGAGGTCCAAATGAGAAACTTCATGTAGTAGTTATACGGGATTTAGGAGTAAGCCTATTCAGTAATAATATAGGTCCATAGTACTATTTAAAATCAACAAGAATATTTCCTAGAGAAATAGAATAGTCAGGGAACCTGTTGGCCAGCCCTTTTGTAAATATTGAGAGCTTTAACTGCATCATGCCTTGGCATGTCAAAGAACTGTAGGAAAGTTGGAATTAGCTTCATATTGAAAAGGCTAAGATATCATAATGCAAGTGATTTAACTTAAAATGGATCTAGCAGGTTGTTGCAGAGCCATACCATGTCCACAAGACTGATGATTCCGTCATTGATGGCACAATATATTTTGAAGCTCTCTTTTAATACCTATATGCCAACCATGGATTGAACTTTGAAGAGTTAAAAAAGGCAATAATAGTTTTTTTTCGATTGGGCAAAGCATTATAATAATAGTATATTTTCCGATGAGAAAATATTGAAAGATTGTATGAATATAAATGATAGCACATTATTATCCAGTTAAACGCAAGACACGTGAAACTAGCAAAGAAACATGGTTTCAAAATTATAGATCAAATATTAAGTAGCATTTCCACATTTTGTATAATTCTAGAGCAATTTTGTGGTTTAACTATCAGAAACTGATAATTTCCATGGAGCAGCCAGGAATATGCATTCTGCTGAAACTGCAGAAAGAAATACTACAGGAAAGAGAGAAATATATCACATACCAGGGCCAATGCATATTGAATGAGATAGTTGCTATATGCTGTTCCTTCTGGCTGCGAAATGCAAAGCAAATTATAAGCCTTTTCTAGGATCCACGTTTAAAAACATATCGACTCAATGGCAGGCAGAAATGACAGGCCAGAAAATCATGACCAATAGATTGATCAAAGAGAGAAAGCTGGACTGAATCATAGAAATTACATGACAACCAATGAGACGGTACAGAATTTGCTGCAATGCACGCAGCTGCTCTAATAGCTCTTCACTACTCAAAATCCGTGTTCTACTGTGTGCCTTCGAGAATTAATCACGTTGTTGATCAGGATAACAAAATATAACATGATTCTGAGCATATGCTCTTCAATTTCAAAAACAAAACCTTGCTAATTGCAGCTTCTGATTTTGTCAAACGCTCTGTCTCAATATCATACTTCAAGACCCCAAAACATTCAAGTCTCTCCTCTAGGAAGAGTGCATATGTTCGAACCCATGCAGAGCAGTCCCAGGCTGCACATACAAGTAAATGTCTAAGAGGGAAGTGTTATTATAAGTAATTCTCCAAATGCATCCATCAACATAATGGAATGATTTTTGAACTTCTAATTTCAGGACAGAAACTATTTACCAAGAGGGCTTGAATCATCTTTAAAATTGGATATTTGGAGAATGCGCCCTCTGTGCGAGTAGCCTAGAAGCTCCTCCCTAAATGTAGGATCACCCTCTCTCAATGTCCTATGAATGACAATCAACGTCTTAATGGCGACCTGCACATAATTGTTACACATAACACTAGATTTTGAGGAGCATAGTCTTCACAACAGTTATTGCAGAAATAGATAACAAATGGAGTTTTGGGGCTTTAGATTCTACATAAATCCATGAATGGTCATTAGATGGGAGCCAATATTATTCTTATGCAACTTCCTCAACTCATATTGGTTTCTGTTTAGTCAATGGACACAAACTTTAGTCTCCATCTTTTAAGCACTTTCAATTGCAACATTTCAAGACATCAATTATCATTTAGTCATAACTTCACTCACTACTACCTTATACGCCCCCATTTTACCCTGGTCTGTTTTTGGGCTTTCTTAGCATCTGCTAAGATTTCAGGCTAATCTCCCCATTCCCCACCGCACTAGCACCTCCACCCAATACATAAAAGAATGACTATTAAATAATCCAAGGTCTTTATCAGGTTCAGACAGATTTATGGCAACTCCAATGTTGTTCAATGCGGGTAGGACAAAGGAAAGAAAAAAAAAAAAAGGACAAGCAGTAACTTTCAGGGGAGCCAAAAAGCAGAAGAAAAGAAAAAGAAAAGAACAGAGAAGAATTACAATCCAACTACGCGTCTTGTTTAACCTCTTGGCAAGCGCATGAATGCAATATGCCACATCTGCTCGGGGACGTGCCACCGATGTTGCAAAAAATATTTCTGCAGAATATTAATCAGTAAACAAGAAAAAGACGTCAAAACAAGTATACATTACATCAGCATTAGACCATCAAGATTAGATGAGGACGAGCTTTGAAATCAAAATCAAAAGCAGCCAAACAGGATTTTTTGAACTCGAGGAAAAACCCACCATCACAATTCAATCTCCATTTCTAACAAACAATGGTGTACATGAAGCCCATATTGTGAAAACAATTTCTCTTTTGCGGAGAAGAAAACAAAACAAAAAAAAATTGAACTCAATCAAGCCTACCAATCCACCATTGCATTTCAAATCGAATTCCAAACAACAATTGCATACATGAAATCTAAATGGAACAACAATGATTTATGCCGATCAATAGCTTCAGCAGATGGAAAGTTATTTTTTAACTGAACTTGCACGATCAAAACATGAACTCACTTCGAATATGACGTTCTTTAGGAGGACATTCAACGTGATTGGTGGCCTTTACTATTGCAATATCCAAATCCTACAAAAAGAAAAAGAACATTCAACCTAATTCAAAATCACTGTTTTTCCAAAAGCTTATAAGAAACAATTCAGGAAAAAAGAAGAAATCTGACCTTGAATTCGCTGTTGACCTTCGCAAGGCCAACCTTAGTCGTATCCTTGAGCGCGCCATAAGCTTTCCTAAAGCTCTGAAATGTCCCCATTCGACGAATACCTCTGTTATTAACCAAGAAGAAGAAAACAAAAAAAATCCTAATTAAAAAAAGAAACTGCTCAGAATGGAGACCGGTTCTTTTCTCTTGTTCAATTTCCAAAAATGAGAAAGACAGATGAAGAAGAAGAAGCAGAAGAAGAAGGAGACGACGTTTATGTTTGTTTTTGTTGTTTATTGATCTTCTTCTTCTTTGGGAACAAGAACAAAACGGCAAACAAACAGAACGACTCCCTCTCTCTTCTGAGTCCTCTCCAAAATGTTCGCAACTAAATAATAAGGGGGTATTCCGGTAATTTTACGGGGTTGAAGGTTAATTTAATCATGATTAGTGAGTGATAATTATTTTGCTTAACCACTAATTAATTTTCTGGGTGGAGCTTAATTGCCTGGGTGGTGAGAGAATATACCAACTACCAACTGATTTGCAAATAGAAAAAAGGCGGGTGCTGTCTGGTAGTTATGTTCATAGTACTAAAATGCCCTTGCTTATTTGTTTGTTTGCATGCATCCAAAGATGGGTAATTTGGGAATTTTACTGGTTTCACTTTCCTAAGTGGATGCGCATTTTCTCCAACTAATATTTGTGCTTTATGATTTTTTTTTGATAAATTTATTATAATTTAATTTTTAATATTTTTATAACAAATTAATTCTATAAATTTAGTATTTATTCTAAATTTCATTCTATTTAAAAATAATAATTGTAATTAAATTAATATTATTTTATTTTTATTATTTAATTAATCAGTAAAAATAAATTTTAATTTTTTTAAAAAAAATCTAAAATATTTACTAACTATTTTAGCATTTTTGTTGTAATTTAATTTTTTTTATAATACTTATTCTCAAATGCATTCAATTTTTTTTTTTAGGTAAAAACATATTTTGCTTGAGTTATCTTTGTGAATTTATCTATGAATTTTAATATGTATACATTATATAAGGAGTGCATATATCTATTATTTATTTTGTTAATATTTTTTTAAAAAAATGTTAATAAAACCATTGAAATTTATAAGGTAAACTTATCAATTTTTCTTTAAAAAATGTGTCTCTAAATATTGTACTATTGACGGGTATAAGTGTACAAGCAAATTTATTTGTAAGTAAATGTTTTGAGATTATTTAAGAAAAAACATGAAAGTCAACGCTTGAATAATTTAAAATATGTATTTATTGAATTTTTAAGAGAAATAATCCTAAAATTATTCAATAAACTAAGTCAAATGCTCTCAATATCCTTATAATCTCAGTTGATAAACGGATGATTTAATTAGAAGAATAAAATTAGCGTATCATAAAATGCACAATTAAATATATTAATAATTTCAAATTATTAAAAAAAAAAAAGAACCATCTATAAATTTGATGGCAAATGGCAAATCAATTATTGAATGGCGGTGGTTGACTTTATAATTTTTAATAATATTTAAATAAATTAAATAATGCATTTTTTTTTTTATAATAGAGGATATTAAAAAGAATAAAAATATGGGTATTACAATAAAGGTGTGAGGAGTATGTGTATAAAAATTACATTTAGACAAATAATTGATCAATAAATTTTAATTAAATAATTATTTCTTTTTTATTTAGAGAGTCAATTTTGATTTTTATTTTATATTTGGTAATTAGATAACTAATTAATAAATTATTATTTGGATTTGACACGTGAAATTCAAGATAAATGAAAAGAGGTCATGGCCCAAGGCCCAATACCAATAATAATAGGCCCGCCAAAAGGAGAACCCTGTATATCTTTTTCTCAATCCCAATTCGATCGGAAAGGCAAATGATCTAGTACTCAGCTCCAAATCAGAATTCTCAGATCTCCCAATTTCTAGGGTTAGGGTTTTAACAATCTCCTCCCATCTGAATTCAAACACTGCGAAAAGCAATGGCGATGAGGAGAGTCTACAACGAGATAAAAGGGATGAAGGTGAAGGAGTTGCCCAACTACGTGAAGCCAATGCTATCGACCGATTACGTGAAGAAGGCAGTTCAAAGAGGGCTGGACAATTATCACGCTAAGTACATACAGACTAGCTCTATTGACCCTCTGTATCATGTCTGCTTCGGTGGCATGATCTTCTCCTACCTCGTTGCGCTTCCTGAAGAGCGCCGCCATCTCGAGCACCAACAACACGCCAAGGAACACGGTGGACACTGATCCATCCCTTTTATTCTTCGCTCACTAATGGAGGTATGAAATTTTTGGGATTTCTAATTTTATCTTCTTTTTTTCTGTTCGGTTGGGTACTTAATAGATTTTCTAGGTTAGTGCTCATGTATGGTTGGTTAACATGGGCGTTTTTTCTTCGTTAATTGATTGCGATTAGTTGATGGTCTAGATTTTTTTACTTCTGAGGAACTGCTGATCTTCTGCTAGGAAATGATGTTTTATCATTTTTTTTTGTTGGCATGTTAGATCTTTACTGCGGATTATAATCAGGCTGGATACTTTAGGTACGGTTCGGATTTGGGATTGATGAAAGGTGCAAGCTGTTAGCTTCGATGGAATGTAGACCTAATTGGACTGAGGCCATTGATGTCTGTTCTTTCAGTTATTGGAGCAGTTTTTATGCATTGCAATGAAAGTGCTACGAGAAAAATTTAGGATGTTGGCCTATACCGCAACCATGTACAGAACATGAACTGGCTGAAACTAAATTGCATTAATAAGAACATGCAAGTTACTTAAACATAGATGAAAGAAAAATTATGATCATAATAACACTAAATTGCCGGCGTGCATCGTCTCATGTAGAAAGGCTCTCCAAAATATGTTTGGAGGTTGAGTAGTTTAGTTTATGTGGCTCTTTCATGGTTAAGTGATTTGCTATTCAATGATGCCATGAACAACGACCATCTTGGACTCTGAAAATGTATTTCCTTTTCTGTTGTCCTCCTTTCACAGTGCAGAAATATCTCTCTCATCCCCCGCTGTTGTTTGTTTTCCTCCTTTCAAAACTGCAGTTTTCAATTTAGTATTGGCCTCCTTCAAAACAAATTATTGGCTTGCAATAAGTGTAGTTTAAGCAATAAAAAGCCTAGTGCTTGCAATAAGTGTAGTTTGACTAATTAAAAGCCTAGTGCTTGCAATAAGTACTGCAATCCAGGTCAGCAAATACCAATTAAGGTTACCCATTGCATATTGTACTCCAAGTTAAGTGTTGTACCACCTTATGCCGTCCCTGTATATTTGCTACCAGCCTACCACTCAAAATGGCAAGATGATCCATGTAACTATTGGTTGGTTAGCTGAAATATTTTAATTACCCTGTTCTGCTATTAACAGAATGCATAAAGCACCATACTTCTGATTTTAAGTAATATATCAACTAGATCAACTAGACTATTAAAGTGTTGTTTGTGAACAATTAAAAATGAGAAAGTTTATGAACTTCTGTTCTTTAGTTACAGAGAGAGAGATTGAAGGAGAAATTAGATAGGGAGAAGAGGGATGAAAGGGGAGGAGTGAAGCATTTCTGCTCGGTTTTCTTTTGTAAACAACATCAAAGAAACCGAGTGAAAGTTCGTTGTACTGCTTGGTTATTGGATTCCATAAAGTACCATGTTTTGTAGAATATTCCTGTTAGCTTCACTAGTTCCCGAGGGAGAAAAACTCGAGAAGCAATTCCCTCTTTTTCTTCTCTCCTCTGCACTTGTGAAGGTGACAAACAGATTATAGAAATATAAAGATATTTATTTTCTGTTCCAGTCCCTCGATCTCTTCCTAATATATTAGGAGTGTTAATTTTCATGTTCTATGTTTAGCTATGCTTTTAATAATCATTTGAGATGGTTTATTTAAAAAAAAAAATCATTTGAGATGAGTACTTGAATTTCTTCAAAAACATGTTCCCTTCTACAAATTAATGGAATGTTTCAATCATGAATTCTGTCAGGATTTAGCAACTTTGTTAATTGTATAAGTTCTTTTTATTTTTATGAGGCACATAACTGAAATATGTGCCCAAAGCAATCAAAATTTATGGTTTTCTTGAGATATGTATGCCAACCATGTCTTTCCTACTAGGAATTGAGACGTACTGCTGTGTACATGCATATATTACTTTGCTCGCTCTTCATCCTCCTCCTTGGATATGAACGATACAGAAATTACTTGAAATTATACACTGACTGATCTTTGCTGCAAGTTTCCTATATCAGTAAATCATGATTTGTTATTGAAATGTAAACAGTAAACTGAGAATTTTCATGTTCCAGCCTCTGTTGCCCAGTAGTTAGTAGTTTCAAAAATCATCAAGTAGTTAATGTGTTACAGACTTTTCATGCTTCCTCATAATGAGTGCTTTGGCAGGTTGTATGTTGAAAATCTCACAGGTTTTTTTTTTTCAATATTATATTTGGCAGGATGAGCAATATCTCTTTGGGTTGGTTTGGTGAAGATTTGGTTTGCTTCTGGTGATCTTGGTTGTAATTTCTGGATATTATAGGTGGGACAATACCATCTTTTCAAATTTTCGATTGGAGTATTAAATGATGAAATAAAATATACTTGACGAGAGCTACTATACTTTGTTACTCATGCGATCTTTCTCAGGAAGAAGGAAATATTTGATTTTGGTTCTTCTGCTTTATTCTGTGTTTTTTCTTAGGACGTTATGCTTTCTATAAATAAAGCATAGTTGTCACCCAATAAGGGTCTTCTTCACCAATATATATATATATATATACACGTGCGTTATATAGCTCTTCAATTATAGGGATTCATTGGACTGTGTAGACTATAGGTGGTTTAAGCAAATTGGGAATTCACACTGTTTGGATTATCTTGCTGCTTGTCACAAAGAAGAGTAAATGTTTGTAAAAGGCACAGGAAAAGGGAGTCTGACACTCGCCAATTATTTCAACTAGACATCGTCCAGGACGAGAGAGAGTGATTGACTTTGTTTGTTGGTTGACTGTGAATAGTTTTAACTTTTAAGCAATATATTCAACTATATTTATTTGGTAATACAATAAATAGATAAGTTTTTGGGCTAAAAGAAACAATTTTCTCTTTTTCTCATTGAGTAAAAAGAGTAGCCTTCCATCATTGTATATCTATTATTCAATATAATATTTAAACTACTCATTTTTAGGATTGATAATTTTAGTTGTAATTTTTAAATAAATTCCATTTACTTTCATCTTTTAACAATTTAAATTGTTGGTTAAGTTGGTCAAAAGTAATAACCCTTATCCAAAAAGGAAAGAGAAAAAAAAGAAAAAAAAAAAAGCAAGACAAAATTATCTCTTGCAATCTTAAACTAATGTTTTAAACTTTTAGTTCAGTTCTCAAAACAACATATGTTGATAATTCAACTCTCGAATTTAAGTATCAAACCACAGTTGAAATATGGTGAATCAAAAAATCCAAATATGGTCAGGAGTTTCTTAAAATAAGAGAAATCAAATGCACTTATCAAAAACAAA